AAAAATATTTTCTGCTATCATTCAAAAATATTATTTTAATATAGACAAATCTATCTGATGAAGATAAAATGACAATATATTACATGTGCTTTTAAAATATTTTTAGAGGAGTACTGGTTATGAAATATTTATACCCATTAAGGCTACCCATTCAGGTATAGGTAAAACTCCAGTTGCCTCTGCTATATCAAAAACTTTTTAAAAAAATTACCTTTTTTTCCCAATATAAACAGATTTTTTTATTGGACACATTTTCAAATATCGGTAATATAGGACATTCTTTGTCATATTCATATTTACCGTTTAGACACTATTCTAAATGATTTACAGATACAATATCATTTAATCCTCATAGGCATCTTATGAAGAAAGTATTATGCCAGCATTTTACAGAAACTGCAGCCCAAGAGCTCTCAGCCCATAAGCTTCAGAGCAAAGGTTTGCATCTAGAGCAGTCTGTATTAAAATGCACACTTGTTTCCATTCTCTGATGCTAAAAGGTCAGGAACCTTGGCTGTACCTGCTGCCCAAGTGCTGGAAATCCTTCATGGAGCTGTTCTGCCCAACACTTTGGAATGCAAACTCCCTTGAGCAAGCGCTTGTTTAGCATAGTTTCACCAGCGGCCTGTCTGTCTAAGGTAGTCGGCGAATATTAAAATAGTCCTAACAATAAAATAACACTCAGTCAACCGTATAGCCTTCTTCGGAGGGGGAGGAGAATAGCTTACTTTCCCTAGAGGGCCTGAGAAAGATCAGTTTACAGACTCCAGCATAGGGTAGGACCCTTCCTCTTTCCCTATGTCTTGGTGGTGGCATCTGGTGACCATCAGCTTGCATTAGCTCACAGTTGGGGCAGAAAACATTACCAGGGCTCCTTCTCTTCCCCACCTAAAACATACTCAGTCCTTTCACTGACCTGGCTTCTGATTGGAGGTTGGTTGCTTCGGATAATGACCTCCAGGACCCCACTGTTGGTTAGAGCCTGTTTGTATTATTCTTACTGCAACTTAAGATGCCTGCAGGGGGGTGTGAGAAAAGGTAAAAGACTGGTGTTTTCACATCCCCAGGTACCAGAAGCAGAAGACTCACAGTGTTCCAGCTACCTGAGGGGGCCCAAGGTGATATCTGCCCATGTTGCCTTCCAGACTGGCTACTTGCCACGATGAGGCATCTTCTTCAGTATGTCGCCTGCTTCTTTGCCTTTTTCTCTGCTGGGTTTTTGATTGTGGCCACCTGGACAGACTGCTGGATGGTGAATGCTGATGATTCCCTGGAGGTAAGGAGCCAGCAACTTTTTTTTTCTGACCCCAGCCAGTCCAAATTTTCTATAAATCCTACTGCCATATGCAAAACTCAGTATGTTTATTGTGACTAATAATAGCAAAAATAGGCAACATGGGCTGACTGACTACTATTGAGTCTTTACATTATCAGCTCATTTAATCCTCATTGCTATTTTATGAGGTAGGTCTTATTGTTATCCCATTACACGGATGAGGTAACTAAATAGTCCCTCTATTTTTCATAAGGTTAAATTTACACAAGGGTAATTAAATAATCGCTGCCACTGTGACCTCCAGAAATCCACCTCTTCCATTGCTGCATATACCACATTGAATAACGTTTCAATAGCTCCCTTTCCTTCAAACATAAATTTAACTTGATGACAGTATTAAGAGTAGTGAGATGGACTTATTAAATAAGAGTGATAATAATCTAAGAGATTGAGTAATTAAATGCAAGGCATATAAAACTTACCCAATTTGTATGCAATAGAAAAATGTTATCTTAATGAATTTCCAAGTAGAAATAAATATCCTGAGGGAGAAAGAATCTTTCCAGTGCATCCCAATGTAAAGGGCATAGACATGGATTTAAGAAATTCTCTCTTAAAAATCAGTTGCTCTTGGGA